GGAGCCGCGACCTTATTGGTGCCCGAGGGGAATAGTCCTTGGGTAAGCAGCTGTCCGACGGTTGTAGATTGGAATGTAGAAATTTGGTCATAAGGTTTTTGCATATATATTTTGGTATCAGGTGTTTTGCACCACACATTACAATTTTGGTGTCGGGTGTACTTTAAAACACCACTAATAAAAAAAATAACAAAGATATATCAAATAGAAAAAAACAAAAAGGTATTTTACACAAGAACAAAATTTAAAAATATTAGTTGCGCAAAAATACAAAAAGATAATTCCATTAACTAATAACAGTAGACCTAAAAGAGGATTACTCAATTTTGTAGGTAACATTGAAAAAGAATTATTCGGAATAGCCACTACAGATGACATACATAGTATTAAAAATAAATACGAAATACTAGTAGCCAATGAAAAAGATTACCTGGCTGTTGACGGTAACGATAACTACCAATGGATGTCGACTATCCCTACACCAATTAAAGACATATATCTCCTAGAAGACAACTTACAACATACTCCTGAATGCTTTGTAGAACTATTACGAAAGAAGTACCGCAAAGACTGATGACAATTAAACCCACTACTATATAGTCAAAATCGAGTCCTACAATTGTCATCAGCTGAATACATAATCATCCCAGTCACACCAGTAGTAATGGAATATACATGTCACATTAATCTATTCCAAAAGAAACTGATATACCGATTAATGAAAGTAACCTTGGCACCCCACTGTTTCTTCGAGATTTCAGGACAAACATATCAATATGAGAGACCCACGACGATATCTTCAACATTCTTACTTCCAAAAATCAAGTTTGTATCAAATTCTACATCGTTGAGTCCAATCAATGATACCCGGTTAGAAATTAAAGGAATATCACATATACAACATCAATTAGAGCAACTTTCACCAGTGATTAGAGATTTACCTGAAGAAAAAACTGGTCTTGAAATTCTTTGGTACATCATACCACTTACCATCTTAATAATGATTATGTTTGGATTAAAAGAAAGGACATCCAGACTGTCTATTTCAACAAAGAAAAGAAGCAAGTCTCGGTCGGACGTGACCCACTCCAGAGCAGTCCATCCGATACCTCTCGACTTCCTTTTTAGGATGGAGGAGTTATGTGATATCATCATTACGCACCCAGTCCATAATTATATATTTTTCATGGCCGCACATACAAATATGCATAATGTAATGAGTTACGGAAGCATTCGCGTCCTTATCTAAAATAAATATTTGGATAATCGATTTATATAAATAGTTCCGATTTCCAACATTATTTAGTTCTAATTTGAATGTACGCTTGATGTATTGTTGTCCAGCTGATAGAACAAATAAATAAGTTATACTTCCGAAGTGTTTTAACTGACAAAAACCTGAAGCACGACATTTGGTTATTTAACTAAATCCGAAGGCTTATGGATATTTAAAATTTAAATTGAATTATCCATTACCTGATGTTACGGCGACGGGCGTCTAATTTAAATGCTAACGAAGGAATATTGACAGATGTTATAATGATTATGAAGGCAAAAGCTAAAGATATGTCTGCTACAGATAGTGACAGTGCTGACGTTTCGGACAAAATATGTTTTGATCCAGTAAAGGAACTAGTAGTAGATCCTTGTAAATCTACAAATTATTATGGCACCATCGTTATTTGGAAATTGGAAACAACCAGTTTACTATAAATATGACCTACCCATTAAATCTGAAATAATAAATAACATTATTATTAATGTCAAACAATTAGGATTTTACATAACATGTTTAACCAGCGATATGGCTGCCTCATAATTGAATATTTCCTCCTAATCCAAATAACACACAGAAAAATACTTATGGCTAACCTTTTAATTAAATTATTGAGAAACTATATTATAGACCATGGTCTCTTTTTACCTAATGGCAAACCAGTAAGTAAAAAACACGTAGAAGGATCACTGATACCGCAATCAAATTCCGATTTAAAGTTTGCTTTTAAAGTGATACATTTACATCTTACTGTAACTAGTAGCAAACGGCAAAAGGTTAGCAACACAATTTTTCTCAAACATGACAGCAAGGGCTATCGAATGGTGTGGCGAAAGTAATATGTTTTCAGAAGAGTGGGAACAAGTAACACACTTTTTCAAAATTGTCATCGATTAGTTTGACGTATGTAATTCTAGTATCAAATATGGGACACACGAAGGAATTAATGGTTAGACAAACAAAATGAAATCCTAAATGTAAGAAGTGAAAATATACGCGTATGAGACAAATTGTCTATATCAAAGGGATAACTCAAAGGCAACACGTTCTGCTACCTTTCCAAAGAGGAATATTAATAAAAAATTCGGCAATAAAACTTCTTTACGAAGATCTAATCACGAAATTTCCAATTACATATATAATGACAAGAAAGTTCATCCAAGATATTTTTGAAAAAGATGTTTCGCACTTACACGAGCTATGGGAGAATTGAGTATCTATCGCCTTATGATATAAAACATCGCTTAAAGTGGTATATTCTTGGAAAACACTTAGAATCTGTATTCTCTATAAATAAAAATACAGATGATTTTTCTAGTAATATGAATCTAAATAACCCTTCTTTGTCATAAAAACACCGCGGAAATTGTAATTTTTTAGGAAATTTTATCAAATTTACATTTGTTAATGCTCGGCGCGGTAGCTTTATTCGAAGTTTTTTTAATAGGGAGTTAAGTACAACCCTTTGCCTTGCCTTTTTTGTTTAGGCACAAAACTTTACCAGCTTGCTCCATAGCTAGATTATGCTTCTGCTGTACCGCCAATTGTTGTTTATTTGCTTTAGCGTTGTTAATAGCTTGTGCGACACCTGCAGCTCCACCTCAATACACCTAATATTGGAAGTAAGAGGTAAAAACCCTCAATGGAATAATTATTTTCTTGGTACGAATACTTTTATCCTTTTTTAGTTTTTTCTTCAATCCTATACCTAATTTCCTTTTCGATTACAAGATATCGGTAACGACTCACGTAGTGGCTTTTTGTCCTAGCGTCTTTTGACTCACCCAAGCACTGTGTTCAAGTTGATAGTCAGCCTTATGTCGATTTTTTAGATCCTAATAAAAGCCAAATAAACCGGTCGATATACGAGACCGGATCAACCGCTCCACTACCATCATAATATTTCTTATAAAAGTTGGTACTTTAACTCAGTTGCAAACGTGTAAACAATGATAGAAAATTATTTAGAAGAAATGAGTGAAAACGAAGTTGGGAACAGCGTAGGAACAAATCAAATAAGAAGAATTTGTCAGGAGTTAGCCAATGAACTATTCTGTGTCAACACAGTTTATGCTTTTTATATAAACGAAGATGTGTTTATAGATTCTGCTATAAAAGCTACGAAGGGTCCGACGGGAAAAACCCTTTTCATGTGAATTATCACTATATCACTTCCAAAGAAAATTTACCAACATATTTTATTTGTCATCGTCGTACTCATCGAGTACAATGTAATACCAAAATGGGCATGTCTGTTTTGTGCAAACGTTGATATTTATAGAATAGGTACAATGTAAAAATATAATAAAATTATATAAATATAATTACTACAAATTTTATTTCACCGTACAAACCATCTTAAAAATTTTTCGAAAAATGTAATTTTTGTTAAAACTGTCGAAAAGTAACGTGAATGTACTGAATTTTGCACTACTTAGTTTGAAGTTTTCTCAAAATAGCTCAAGACGAAATGATAACTCCATTTTTTTTAAATTTTGAATAAAAAACTAAATTACTTTTTTAACGTATACCAACCGACAGCAGGTTTATGTAAATAAACTTTTTTGTTAGACTTATCTTTACAGTAATATACTATTAAGTCGAAAATACTTGAAAACAACTTTTTCGTATCTCAGTTATTTGAAGAGATAGACAAATAACCTTTTTTATTAATTGTAAAGGGTGCTCAAAGGAATATTAAATACATACGAAAAATAGTAAACATTTATTTTTATAAAAAATTATCAAGGTCTTGAAGTATAAAATGCAATAAAAAAATAGTACAGTACATCAATTACATTACACACATCGTTATTTTTTATGTACATTTCTCCAAAATCTATAAACACAATTCACAATTTAAATTTAAAACAACAAATTTGTACAACTACGTAAATTTCATGAAATAAGGGTGTTTTACATATATTCCGCTAACTTTGACGAAAATATGGTGAGACAAAAGTTCTCCAATTAATCTCAGTTTCTGTTCGTTCATTTCAAATTTTGTAAATAAACATATATGGTTACCCTTTGTTATAGGAGATAACTAAATACTTTCCATCAATTTCATCAATGTTCTTCATGTAACAGCGTAAATCACGCTTAAAGCGTGTAGATGAAAATACAGATTTACAGGTTTATAGGTTTCTGACATTTCTAAAAACAATTCATTTTTTTTCTCGTTAGTCAATTTGATTATAAATTACAAATGCAAACACTCTTTTTTCCAAATACAAATTCATCCATTCATTGTTAACATTCAATTTTCTTAAAGCCTCTAATAAAAAGTACATCAGTTCTTTGTTTTATTTGTCAATGTCGCTGTTAAACATGTTTGCCTTAAATATTGTTCTTGATTCTGCTCCAACAATTTGTCGACCCAGTATTTTTTACATATCGCATTGTTTTTTCTGTCCCTATTCCTAAACAGATCATTTACTTTTTCCACACGTTTCACTCTAATTCGAGTTTATTATTCATAATTTTTAACGTTTCTACTTCACTGTACATTTTTTGATTAATAAACTAAAGGGCCTAGCCGGATAAGAGATACTGAAAATTGCCCCGGAGTGAATAGAGACGAAGAAAATACGGGCATGATCAGCATGAAAAATGGTAGTATAGTAGCTTTTGTATCAGTAGAAGTTATGATGCATCAGCTGTAACGTTTAATTTTTACCTTAAAAGAGGGCATGTATATTATTCTGAAAACTGGAACACTCAGTATTTATAAGGTTTTATTTCCTATTTCTTTAAACATCTCTATCCATTTAAAATTTGTATTTTCATTCTAAAATTAACATCACACTGTATAGATAAGATTTGATCTTTTATGTTAAAAGGAAAAGGATATTCGTATAGTCCACCAATTGGGTTTTCCTTGAAGAGATTCCCTTTGCATTCCTAGCTAAAAAGTAATTTTATTAATAAAATAAATAACATTTTGAAAAACGTACCTTTTTATAACGGCAAGTGGCATCTCGAAACGCAAAAATGCTGGGACCCTGAAATAAAGATTAAAATAATAGTTTATAAATATAAATTTTGTATAACCTAATTCATTTCGTGATATGGTTTATTAGATTATTTACGTATCTAACAATTAATTAACGTAGCTTACCTTAAAGTGTATCTCTTACAGGCCTCTTAAATTTAAAATTCATGTAGTCCACTGGGCATTGATTCTTGTTTGTTTATTTTATTTCAAATTTGACATCTCGCCATATTGTCTCCTTCTTCTTCCGTGATTATTGATCGACTTAAATTAAGTCAAGTAGAGTCTGCGCGGTACAGTGTTGCCCGATTGTGCATAGCATTTTTAATGTTGAAAACTCCCGATTATGACATCGTCTTATTTTAGTTAGTTAATTTACACTTAGAATATAGTATTATAGCCTTCCGTTGCATTGTTGTATTAGGAAAAACCAATATTTTCACTTATTTCCGACATGCTTGACTGTGATTGGCAGAGCTATTGTCCAATCACACTATGATTAGTTTCCAGGGGGGGTTTTTCCGCGCGCTTTCTGGGTGGAAAGACAGGAGAAGGTTAGATTTTTTGGAGGGTGTGTGTGAATTGGTGGCCATTGAAAAATCTATGATTTCTGAAATCATCTTTAATTAGGAGCAATTTTTGTGGCCATTTATCAAGAATTTAGGGGTATATAGTGCTGTGGATTATAGTATTTTTGGTGTAAACCCCTTATTCTCACTTCTTATGAAGGATCACTGACACCACGCCGTGTGAAAATCGTATCCCCAGGAAAACGAATTGAGGTTATTGTATAGTTATTGTACATTTTTACCGGTAATTCAATAATATTTAGTAATAGTTCAGTTCAAATTGCAAATTGTAAGAATTGTTTCCTTATCATTAGATACCATAAGGTCCGTATTCGTCTGTCCGCATACGCAGATAGCCTACAAGCGGCAAGTTTTATAAAGAACCCCTTAGTTAAGGGTAAGTATTTTTATTATGGTTATTTTTCTTTTGTTTTACATTTAGCCTTTTGTAATAAGCTCTATACTTTTGTAGCTGTAGTAAAATTTACCCATATAGGCAATGACATGCGACGTTGCCAGTTTATTTTTATTACTAAAAATGTAGGTAAATTAATTTGTTAAAATAATACGTCACGTTGTGACCATATATATCATATGTATTGCGCCATAGCATTAAATTAATGTTCTTTTTTTAATTTTCCATTGGGGTTTTTTTTTGGGGACCACACATTCTTGGAATATTTCCTGAAAGCTTGATTCCTTTTGTTTTTGAAGCTGGTCTTCTACGTAACAGCATTTGGAACACTGTTGACGTTCCTGTACGTATTCAAATATCTCCTGTGACAGTCTCAGCCAAGCATTACGCAATCGGTGCTACCACGTCTACCATCATTCGTCATCTCATAGGAGTTTTGGTACAGCTCCGTGGAAGATCCTCTACCAGACATATTTCTTGGATAAGAAAGGATATCACGCAAGTTTTTGAAACAAACATTTTGCTTTTATTTTTTTTTCTCTATGCTTAAATTTTGATCGTAACATTAAATTATTAGTATTGGTAATTTGCTATTGCTTAGTAACATTTATTATTTGCTTAGCTTTACTGGCTTATATCCGATTGTTTGCATGTATGCGCTTGTTAATATTCTTTATTTATTGGCCATATTGGCACATTTACATTGTTGTTTTTTTTTATATTTTCTCTTTATTTTCCGCTTTATTGACTAGATTAATTGACAGCATTTTGTAATACGCTTGCGGAAATTAGGGGTACTTATCTGCTTATTTACGGTATACACCTGCTTGTGTGTATTTATGCGCATGCGCCTGAGCTCAAGCGACGCCATTTCGAAGCCTATTGCCTGTCTTTTGCATTTTGCTTAAATAGATTTTATCTCCCTAATCTCTAATCGTTTGCGTAGCTAGTCTCAATATTTGCTTTTGCTATTAATCAAAATACTATCTCAATTTTCAGACAGTATTCAGTAAATATACAATTAACTCAATAAGTGTAAATACGTAAAATAAAATATATTTATCTTGTGTTGTACTATTATCGTATTTTATTTATCGTCGACCTCTTTTTGACTATTTTCGGAAGTTGACAGTCAACTATTAGGGTATTTATACGGCTATAGAAAATTTGTCTGGCGCCCTGTTAACATCTAGAACCACTCCCTTCTCCACAGAGGTAGCCAAATACCCAAAAGGTATAACCTAGTCAAACATTGACGAGTTGTAGGTTACACAGCTTACAAAGCAAGTGTGCTAGACAGCAGCCTCGATCCCGTAGTCTGCAACCTAAATAAAAACTATTCAACAAGTGTTGTGTTTTCTTGAAAGAATCTATAAGAGGTAATTGAGAAATTGGTATAGTCAGTAGGATCCAACATCATTACTTGGCTCACCATTTAATGTAATTGGCACAGTCGTGGCGGATTCGAGTACACCTCTTAATGAAATTAGCAACTTAGTACTACGAAAAAAATACTGAAGGAAATAACTTTAAATTGCATGACTGTCAATGGTTAAGATATACTAAAAAGTCAGGAACAGTATTCTTTAAATATGTACTCGCTAAATGATGCAGATCCATTCAAATAAATATGTTTCTCAAGACGTGGCAAGAGTGATACTTTGTTACCTCAGAAACAAAAGAAGAAAAGAAACAAAATTTGTTAGAGTTACTACCCTTGATATCACTACCATTCGTAAAGCAACCAGAAGCTATAAGATTCTTTTGAAATGCAATAACCGCCCTAAAGGTACTACTACTCTGAAACCGATATATTAAACTTTGCAAGGCAGGTTATAAATAATCACTCCTTAAAGCTTGATGTCATAAAATTAAGCTCAACGCCACCAAAGTGTTTGGAAAGACTATTGACTAAATTGAGAAATAAAGGAAACTTTCTAAAAACGGCAAATAACTTTCCAAGGAGGGTACGCAAAAGCTCAAATTCCAAATGTCTCCATATTGCCCTGTGACAACTGTCTTGGTTTTTTCTGTTCAAAACTGCTATATAGGCATATAAAAAACTGTGACGAAAGGTGCAGTGGAAAGGCACGAACTGAAGGACAAAATAAATTAATAAATAACATTAGAACCGTTGAGAACGTAAACGAGAAGTACTTCCACGTATGCGGGCAGACAAAATATCTTTGGAAGAAAAATCAGACAGTTTAATTTGTTCGTTTGGTGCACGATATCTAAGATGTCACAAATTCATTCAAACAATGCTGCGATATAGCCATAAATTTCATTCTTAGAAAAAGCGAACAATATGAGTGTCCCAAGTGCAGAAGCAGAAGTTCAACTTAGAACAATGATCCATTTGTTTACAGCAAACTGGAGATTTGAAATTTCAAGCCAAGCTGCTAGTAATCTATATTTAAACAGATGCCACAGTGGGGGATTTCGACGAAAACGTGGCCAAAAGTCGAAAAATTAACTTTTGTTTTGAAATTTATGAATGGTGGGGATCGCTTTCTGAACTGATTCAGAACCGGTGAAATCGGTACTTGGTCCTGAGCAGGAACTATAAGAAGCATGCGCATTGAATACACAAAGTCATACAGCTATTAAAGCCATTTTACACAAAGCAATTTATTGAATAAAAAATCCACAATTTATTTCAATAAATTAATTAGTTTTACAATTGTATTGATGACAGCTTTACAGATTTCAACATTTACAACAATTTATTGGCCAGTTTCATTGATGCCAACCTCGAACTTCATTGTTCGTCAACTGAAATTGAAAAGTTGGCACTACTGGCAGCGTTGTGACACTGTGACTCAGGCGTATCGGTTATGTTTTTTGGATATTTTAATATTTTCTCATTTAGCGAGAGCCAGGAACCAGAGTGTGATCATAAATACAAAAGACTGCATGTGATAAATTTAGCAATTAACCTCATTTGAGTTAAATCTCTCTGTGGTGAGAAATTACTGTAAACGTGAAGTAATAATGAGGGTCTTTCCGCGCACCTTTCACTTATTTTCCCATATAAAAGGAAATGTCGGGAGTACCAGTGTCATGCTATATTAGTTTTTGCAAAACAACGCAAGTTTTGCATAAATCGCTCTGGTAAGTTTAACCTTTTTATGCTAAATCTACTTTCTAAAATTTTTTATTTATTCCTAGAGGTGGATTTAAATGAAATTAATGAAAAGTCGCTTTTAGCTTTTAAACCAACGAAGCCGCTAAAAGAATTAGAAATTGGACGAAAATATCCAGTCTGGAGAATTAAAAAGGTATCTACAAAGTATGGACACAATTTAGTCATACTCAAAAGACTGTTAGAGCAACTAGAGAAACATTTGGAATAATTTAGATAAACAGTACTGCCTCATCGCCAAGGGTGAGATAAATATTGGTACTGGAAACTTTAAAACCTCAAAAACCGTCGCCATAGAATTTGTAAAACATAAGTAGAATACATTAGTTATTGTCGACTCTAATATTTCCCTAAAAATTAAACTTCAAACAAACTTCGGTCATTTGAGAAAATATACAGTTGTTAAGATCTCTGTATAATATATATTTGGGGAGTGATTTATCCGAAAATAAAACATTAAAATCGTTTCCAAAGCTAAGTCAACGAATTCGGTGGGAAGATGGAACATCTGCTTTTCAAGTCGATTAAGAAGCGGTTTAATTATTAATATTTTACATAGCAATCCACTTTAATTTTTAAACAATTAATTTTACTTGTTTAAACCTACAATTTTAAATGCATTATAAAAGGATCCAATGATTACATTGTGGATCCAATGGTGTTGTCAATTTATTAAGCTACATGTTAATGGCAAACAAATAAGAGAATATAAGTATTTTAATACAAAAAATAATGTCATAAATTTAGGGACCGAAATTTTAAATATAAAGAACTCCTTCTTGTTATTGTTTATAGCAGTTTTGAAGCTTTATTGAAATCGGTCAATGATAATAGAGATGAGAGAGGTATCAAAAGCATGAGATCTTTGCAGTGGGTTATTTGAATTGTAGTTATGATAAAAATTTATCTTATTATAAAAGTTATGTAGGTCTCAACTGTGCGTACTGGTGTGTGAGGGAACTTGAAAATATTGGAAAATTTGTAGACGAAAAATTATATTTTGTAGTGCCCATGGAACCCTGTTCCGTTGACGCTCAGAATGAATTAGAAAAAAACAAATTATTGTCACATCTGTACG